GAGGTCCCTCCCAACCCCACCAGTCTGTGACCGGCTGTACGGCTGAAGCACATTTCCCGTAGCCGCAGATTTCCCGACTCTCTGGTTGAAGCAGGAGGGGAGCACAGGCCAGCAGCTCCTCCACAACATCCGCTCTCCTGCCACGGAGAGGCAGCCTGCACCCACACATCCTTCCCTCTGCCAAGGCAGCTCAGAGCCGAGAGCTCTGCAGCTCCTTAGACACACACAAACCCCACCAAACCACACTAAAACCCCACCAAAACCACAGCAGTGGGACAGCGATGGCAGCAGCGAAGCCACCTACAGACCCAGCAGTGACAGAGCCGTGGGGTGTCCCTGTGACACCAGCAGCACCAGCCCCGTGTGGAATAACCTGCTGCCGAAAGCGTTTTCCCAGCACCAGTGTGAAATCCAGACGTGCTGCCCCACTCACACCATTGAGCTGCTGGAGGTTGATGTTCTGGTTGCCATGTCAAACACCTCCATCTGGAGGGGTTCTCCTCACCGTGCTCCCTGGCACTGCGTGGGCATCCCCCGAGCTCTCCAAATCCAGCTCCAGACTCACTGCCAGGGGCAGAAAGGGTTAGAAAAGTGCTTTTAAAAGTGCTTGTTTACAGAAAAAAACCCCACAGTGGCATTTTAACTGACACAGAGTGGGTTTACAATGAGCTCTGACATAAGAACGAGCACTAAATATACCAAATATTGTTAATTAACAAAGCTGGAGAGCTTCGGTTGAGCACAATCAAAACTTAAAAGAACAGTCACCAAACACAAACAGCAGCACAGGAGTTTCATTTCAAGAATAAACTCTGTACTGGTGTAACAAGGGCAGCACTGGAATATATGGAATATAAAAATATAAGCTGTTACTCACCAGTGGTCTTTTGCACTTCCACAAATATATCAGTGGGACTCTATAAACCCCAATTACTTAAAATCCACTGTAGTGAACTCTGAAGGAAAACTACCTCAGAAGAAATAGCATTTTGTGTTTAGTCTTGTTTTGATTAAAGTTTTTAGCTCCTAATTTGACCACAGGGATGTTACTTTTTGGTGTATATATATTTATTTTTCTGAAGTAGGTTACAATTGCTACTGACAACTGCCTGGATGTATTTGCAATTCACTGCCAGAGATTAATTAAGGTTTGTTTTTATGAGAGGGACAAGATTATTTTTTGATAGTGATTAAAATTGATTTTTAAGTTATAATATAAACTACTTTATAGTAATTACTAAAGCTAGTCCTAGTAAATTGACACTCGGATTGAATTCAACATCAGTCACTAGGAATGCTGTAACATGTGTAGGTACCTTTTTCTCTGCAGTTAATCTTCACCAGTTTGGGACTCAGTCAGGTTCCAGTATATTTAGGTTATATTTAGAATTTAAGCAACCAAACTTGCTTCCAAGACTTTCCTTCCCAGTTGCTGCCTAACACTTCACCTAACTCACAGCATCACCTGGATTGGAAAAGCCCTTTAAGCTCATCGAGTCCAACCATGAACCCAACACTGACCAGTCCCCTATGACTAACCCATGTCCCTCAGCAAACTCATTGGGCATTCCTTCTTCTTCCAGGCATGTTTTGAGGAGCGCAGGGCCAGCCCTGACCCCTCCTAACAAGGAAGGAACTCCTCAGGAAGAGCTTCTGGCCATGAAATCTTGAGCAGACACAGGTGTTTCTTTGCAAGAACAACCAACAACAAAATAATTAGTGAGGAAAAGGCTTTCAGCAATATCTCTCAACTCAATGTGTATTACTGGTGAAGTTCAGGTACTTTTCTGCTCACCAGTGCTTCACTTACTGGGTTTCATAAAGGGAGGTGGCTTCTCTTCACGTTCTAGACCTTCTCTAAGAAGCTGGTGTCCTTGTCCTCTTTACTGTGTATAACAAATGCTCTCAAAACAGTTTAAAACCCAGTATTTCACACCTAGAAGTCAGTAGCAGCTAATATCGCTGCCTATACGTAATTAACCAGAAATATTTCAGTATTTCATAGACACAAAAACACCTTCCAAAATAAAAACCTCATTAGTCTCAGCACAGGTGATAAAAACTCAAAAAACCTGAATGTAAAAAAAAAAAAAATAATGTTTCTTTTGAAAAGAAATATCCTCCTGCACATACCTGCCAGTCCACCTGTGCTGCCACTGTTAATGATGGTCAGACCATTATATTTCAGAGCATTACAGGTATGGAAAGAAGGATTAAGAACAAATTAAACCCCCTGAATACAGAAGTGAAGTATTCATATATTAACCCAAGGATTTAAATTGCCAAAGTCATAGCCCAGAAAGTCAACCTCTCCATCTAACTGGAGGAGCACTGACGATGCACCAGAAGACTGCCCTAATCATGGTGTTTATTGGCTCATTTCCACTGTAATTTAAAGATGCCCAAAAAGCTATTTTAAAATAGGTTGAACGTATGAAATTAACAATTACTGTACCTACTTAGATAATGAAGATGCATAGTATAGAGCCGAAACTCATTAATAACAACTTCCTAATGGTGTGCTGGATTAAGGTTTCAATAGTATTTTTCTCACTCACTAGACATGAAAACAATTGTGAACAGGGACAGAAAATTGTTATGCTCCACCCCACAGAGATACACCCATTAATATTCTCCTAACGAGAGCTAACCCCCCCCTCCTCACCCAAAAAAAGATGCAAGTTACTGTACTGCAATGAATAGTGGTGTGATTACTCAGTTCTTAAACATCTAGATGCAATGAATACACAGACAGAATATAACAACAACCCCAGAATTCTTCAGCATTATATTTTAATTGAATTTGAAGATCTCGACAGCTTTGATATCTTCAGTGGAAACATGTTTTCATAGGTAGCGTGGTCTTGTGAAATACACGGAGTACAGAAGTCGTCTGTCTTCACTCCTGATCAGTTCCATAGGGCTAAGCTGGATATTGCTCCAATATAACCTATAAATGAATAATTGTTCAAAGTATTTTGGTTCCTATTGACATCCTTCTCCGTTAATTTTCTCCCTTCAGAATAGGCAGCAATTCACCACTCTCCTTTAGTTCCTGTAAAGAAATAAGCACAGCAATTATTATTCTCCACGTGCATTCAGTGATGATGTTAACGGGATTTCAACAGGGGGGAGTTTATGGCTGAGGCAATGAATTCACTGGTTGCACAGGGCATGCACCAGACAACCCACTAGAGGCCCCTCTGGACCAAGACTTTGAAGTTCATAACGTTGTATTTAAATTCTGTTTTGTGTCTATGTAGTAAGAGAGGAAACTTATTTAATGAAAAGACACACTTCATCAAAAGAATTGGTTGTTATCAACGTTACCAGGTAAATCTATCTCCTTCTAGATGTAATTCAAGATGTATTTTAGGCATACACAACGTTTAACAACATTCAAAATGCCTCCCACAAAATGAAAAGGTGACCATCCATTGATAGATTTTGTTACTACCACACATTAAAACAAACCTCCTCCTGTCTTGTTTGCAAGAGTCCTAGATAAGAGGTGCTTGCCCGTATTATCTCGATGATTTAAATTCAAATGATAAGGCTGTTGGGTTACTAAAGAGATAAGATAACAGCAGGAAATGGTTTTAAAATAACTGTGTTGTGGAGTAAATATTCTCTTCTCACATCTCAAGAGAAGCAACTGTCTCAATTTTATTCCATATTATGCTACATTAAATGCATTTAAAAATACTGACAACATTCATCTACCCATACGAGTCAGTTGGTGTGAACTGAATATAGTCCAATAATGCAAACAGACATATTTAAATACCAGGGAGAGAAGCATTTGGCAGCATCTCTGCAATGCCCAAGACTACACTCACTGATCACTGAAATAACCCACACACTTGTTAAATAAATAAAATTAAAGTAATCTATATAATGTAAGTAATACCGGTATTTTTAGAACTAAATGAGATTTATTGATTGCCTCTTCCCAGGAGTTACAATGTCTGAGGAATTGGCTATAAAACATTCAGACAAGAATGGGCTCAAGAGTATTTGGGGTTTAGAACACTGTGCCTACTCTGTTACAAAAATCAAAAACCACAGTAACAGATGCAGATCTATTTTCGTTGCTTGAGGGTCCGTTCAAACAACCACAATAAACCTCACTTTTCTTCCAGGAATGAGACTGTTTGCTAGGGAAAAAAAAAAAAAGGTCTCACCCACCTTATTTGAAAAAAGCAATGTCAGAAGTAAAACTAGGAAGAGAAACCTGTAAAAACACACCCACGGGGTGAAAACAGTCTTTACAGTAACTGACTGCTGTCAAGAAAATACATCTTGCTGCTAAATCTTGGCATATGAGAGCACTAGAGATTTAGAGCTCCCCTCCACCACACACTGAGCTAATAGAGTCACAGCAGAAGCAACCCAGTCACTTGGTCTCGAGATCCAGGGCCACGACACAGGAATTTGTGTGTGTGTTTTAAACAAACTGTCAATTTACATCTCAAAATTCTCCCATTCCTACCTTAACAATGTCCAACCCTCCAACGAGTTCACCTTTCACGTATAACTGAGGATATGTTGGCCAGTTTGAATAGGTTTTTAATCCTTGCCGCACCTAAAAAACAAAAAATAATCTTAAATGTAAACTTCAACTGTGGTAAAAGCAACAATGAAACCCTCGGTGATGGAAAAAACTTAAAAAACTTAAAAAGAAAGACATGGACCAGTTAGAACAAGTCCAGAGAAGGGCCTCCATCCGAGGGCTGGAGCTCCTCTCCTATGAGGACAGGTTGAGAGAGTTGGGGCTGTTCAGCCTGGAGAAGAGAAGGCTCCAGGGAGACCTTCTGGTGGCCTCCCAGTACCTGAAGGAGCTACAAGAAAGCTGGGGAGGGACTTTTCATAAGGACAACTAATGACAAAACAAGAGGAAATGGGTTTAAATTGAAAGAGGGGAGGTTTAGATTAGATATTAGGAAGAAATTCTTCACTGTGAGGGTGGTCAGACACTGGAACAGGTTGCCCAAGGAAGTTGTGGCTGCTCCTCCCTGGAAGTGTTGAAGGCCAGGTTGGATGAGGCTTTGAGCAACCTGGTCTAGTGGAAGGTGTCCCTGCTGATGGCAGGGGGTTGGAACTGGATGAGCTTTAAGGTCCCTCCCAACCCAAACCAGTCTATGATTCTATGATTCTATGAATTACCTCTTCATCTTCCAGTATGTCGAATGTCTCGTAATCAATGCTAGGAAAAAAAACACAACATCAAAATCATCTACTGTGGAGTTTTGCAATGTAAAACCCTCAAAAATTCAAAATGGGCGAATTTTACAAGCTAGCTTCCAAACCACTCAGAATTCACAGGAAACAGGAGGTCAAAAGTCAACGTCTTGGGCACCAAGAACCGTAATGTGAAAAATCTCTGGTTTCATGGGAAACTTCTTATGACGCACAGATGACAGTAAACAATTAAGCCACGTAGCTTAGAGACTAATTGGCCAAAATACATTCAAAGGAATTCAGTTCACTAAGCTAAAAAAAAATTAAAATAAAAAATATTTTTTAAAAAGACACACACATATTCTTTGGAGCTTTTTATTAAGGAATCAACCAGCTGCAGTTATTTCACCATCCTTATATATTACTTGTGTAAAACCACAAAAATAAAATGCCTGTGTGTAAATGTGATTTCTGGTTGATTCAGGGATGAGTTTTGGTAGGGAATTCCTAGTATTTGAAGAACTGTCACTCTTCAATAACCAGCAAGTATGCAAAGTCCTGCAAGTGGACCAGGGCCAGTGACAAGGAACAAAGATTTGAGTAACTGCTATTTATTTCTGAGTTGTATATTGATATTTAATCACCTATTCTCTCAAAAAGCCCATGCTCACGTCTAGTAATCAAGACAACTGCCTGACCTCTTCCTAGCAGTCCAAATTAAACAAGAGTTTGTTCAAAGGAAGATGATACTCATCTCTCTCACTGCAGAAAGAGCTGCTTTGAAGAGGAAAACTGAGGCTAGGTAACATGAGAGGCTCCAAGATTAAGGAAACAGATCAAGAGGGACCTCAGTAAGAGGAGTTACTCATCAGAGTGGCAGGATTTCTTTCATGTCAACAATCACAGCAAAAAAAAAAGAAAAAATTTCACTGATGCAATAAACTCCTCAATCTGAGGAAGACAATCACTGTGTGGCACTGCTAAAGCAGCATGAGAAATACCCGACACACCACATCTGACCTGGTATCAAGTGAGTGTGGCAGAGATTTACACTATGGGCTTTTACATAAAGATAGTAAAATCAATACTCTTAACCAAAGAAAATTATGCTTGGGGAAGTGTTCCACTGACATTTTCCAAACTCTTTATTTGTAAGATGTAGTTTTCAAAACATAACTGGCTTCCAAAGTAAATTAAAAAAAAATAAAATAAAGATCCCACTTACGTACCCAGTATTATTCATGATTTCTATAATTTGCTTGCTGAATCCACACTTTGCTACCTAGAATGCAAAACACACACATGTTAAAACATGTACCTGCTATATTTATTCAACAAAATTCCAGGTCCTCAAGCATGGAATAAATGAAAATATTGACAGAACATGAAAGACCTTCCTCAGCTGTGGTGTGAAATGACACAAGGTGAATCTGTTTTCCAGGTTTGGTAACACTCCCTTTTAAACCAGTTGGGCTTTATTATTTCCTGACCTTTCAAAAAGTGAAAGCTATAGATAAGAGGGGTATAAACGCCTTAAATACATTTGCAAAATAGATGTGGTTTATTTTGAGACATATACTACCCTTTACTCTATGTTCTGGAGCCAGCAGCAACCTATGGTCAACTAATAAATAGGCTGCTATGTACAGCAACTCCCAATCCAAATTAACAACTGAAAGTATCGACTGCAAACCTTTCATGTTGACAGTACAAGGACACAGAACACCCATCACTTTTTAGACACTGAATTTTTAATCCAGACTATTCCTCCTTATTGGTGATTTCACTCCACCAGTAGCTCAAGAAAAAAAAAAAAAAAAAAAATGTGTTCAGCAACTTGCCCAAATTCTTCCTTTCTTCAGGCAAGACACAGGTTTTAAAGGAGCTAGAAGTGCATCTGTTGGGAAGACCTAACCCAAATTAGCTCATCCCCACTGTCTCAGTGAGTCAGCATAGAGTTTGGTTTACCAAACCATTTCCCACAGGGTTGCAGTGGCTGGGAAATGGTTTGGTAAAACAGACTATTACCTTCTTTAAAGTATCTGTTAATACAGAGAAAAGGCTCAGGGAACAAATGAGAAAGTGAAACGGAAAGGTAAGTCACATAGAAGAGCTCAGTCCCCTACCTCTGTAGCCCTTTAGAAAACATACTGTCCAAACAGCTCTCATAACATGCAGTCAGTTCCTACAGTTATTAATTAGGGTACACCCTAATGAAAAACACCCCACCCCAATGAAAAGCCCAAGTTAGGTGCGGCTCAAGGAATTCTGACAGGAAGAATTGCAGCACCTTGCTGTCCAAAAGGGAACAATTTATCCCCTGGTTACTTGGTTTGACTATGTAAAGCAAAACAACAGACTGACCTTCTGCTTTACAGTCATTTGCTATTATTTTAATCCTAACTGTTAGCAGTTGTCTGTCTTCAGTCACTATCTTTATTTCAGTGAGCAAGATAATTAAGTGCAGCTTGAAGACACCAGGCACAGACCATGCCATGTATATGAGGAAAAAAAAGACAGTGGATCATTTATAGTACATGGTGTTATACTTTAGCCTTAAAAACATCTAGTAGCTTTTTTTATTTCAAAATGCAGTTGTGAAAGCATAATAAAGTCAGAGAAATTAAAAAGGATTGGGCACCCAATCCAATTAGGTCAACAGAGGGAAATTTCAAGAAAGATGAGTCCAGAGATAAAGTTTTGAGCAATAGTAAAAGTGTAAGCTTCAAATGGGACAGACATGAGGGGCAAGCACTCAGAACATCAGAAAATCCCTTATCTGCAAAGACAATCAATAACTAAGAGCAGAAGGACACCTAACAATTCTTCCAGTCATCCCTGCATTGTAGATCAACTGACAGATGTCACGGCAGGGCACCAAATACCACAGCTATCAGCATTTTAGCAACATATTTCCATCAGGTAAAACAGGGACTATATGCCTTATAGAAGCATCCCATAAAAAGACAAATAACTAACCTCCCACCACCATTAATTTACATTAAGCAAGGAAATCAAAGAAAGTAAGGAAAATAAGGTAATTGTCATTGTTTAAAAGAAAATAGTTTAAATAATACACTCTGCAACACTGATCTTACCTGTTTGCTTCCCTTCATAAAAAGCATCACAGGAGCTTTGTTTATCAATGTTTTAAGCCTACAGAAGGCACAAAAGACAGACAGACATAAACCAGCTTGGTTATTATCCCAAGCTTTGTTTCAACAGGAAAACAAATGCAAAAAGTGGCAAGATAGGAACTTACAGCTTCACCAAACGCATTGAAAGCATGATTAGAAGGAACACTGCTCATTTAAGCTGCTTACAGAAACTCTAGTGAATGAATTTGAACCATCCTGTCACTTTTAGAGCAATAATTTACTTTTCTAGATTGACCTCCAAGTATCAAGCAGCGGGAGGTTTACGGAGAAACCTCATTTCAGGATATTTTACAGACAGTGTCTATATTTAGTGGCCTATTGTTTTTTCACATTCTGAATAGAGTATCTAGCATTTCTCATTCTCCATCTGAGAATGTCTTCTGCAGAGTAAGAGCCAAACCTACTGTCCATCAGTCATAAGATCCATGGACTAACCACTGCTGACATTCAAGAATTGCCCCATTGTGCCCTGTCCACTTTGGGTCTACCCACACAACCCTGAGACACTCCCCTCCCTTCCCTCTCCTTTTAGGGAAGGCTTTCTGTGACAATTGATGGGAAAAAAGAAAAAATCCAAGATTCCTGTCCAACAGTTTCCTGCTAAGGGCAAATACCCTCTATAAAATGCAAAACAGGTGATAATCTTCTATAAAAAAATCACTTTGTATGACTGGTACAATGCAAAAATATTCTAGACTGAAGAATCCAGGGTCTTTGCAAAATAAAACTAAATAACATTTTGTTGGTGACCTACAGCCTTTTCACATGTAAACATCAAAATACTTTTTCCAACCAAGCAGTCTCTGTTAAAAAGCAAGAGCAGAGCTAACAGCTACACCAAGGGTGAGCTCCAGCAACCTGCAATCAGCTGCTTCCCCAGCTGCCAGACCTGTTTTCTGACACCAAGCTGATTTCCAGAGTCCATTTTCAAGGGTATTTTCAAGTGAAAAAGACACAGTTAACTGATAAGAAAAGATCAAATATTGAGTAAAGGAATATAATTTATCATTAAATAGATCCTACTACTGATATTCCTTCATTTTACAAAGTCTTCACATGTTTGAATAACTACCTCATAGGGGTTTTCTTGTCAGTGACTGACAGTTAATGTAGTTGGAAAGATGTCAGTTGCTCTGTTGTTAAGTATGAAAAACTAATCTGTGCCATGGAAAAGGAGCTTCCCAGCTGTCACCAGAAAGCAGAAGAAAAACTTCAGCTACATGTCATGTGTTAACACAAGAAATAAACACCTCCTACAACATGAAGAATAAATTAGGCAACAAAAAGCTACTTATGACCCATCTAGTGAATTTTGAGCTAGTTCATCTTCAGGCCACTTCTACACCAAAATTTTTGTACAGGTGTGTGAAGTTTTTATCAGTTGTATAAAAGATGTTGCTCCTTTAGGGAGACATTCAGCTATACTAACAATTTTAATCTTTTAAAACACATTAGGTAAGCAGAGGACATTTCACATTAACTTCTTTCCCCAAGAAGACTAAGCACAATAAAAAAACTAGGTATAAATTCAGTCAAGTTGCAGCTCATGCCAGCTTGCAAAAAGGAAGAGACTAAAGAAAGCTTTCTAAAATAAGTTTCCAAAGACCATACTGAGACAATCTCATCTTTACCTACAACTTAACCTCAAACTGCAAGAGGCAGTGATTGTTTTTTGGTGAAACAATGTACAAGTTAACCTACTAGAGGAACAAAAAGGTAAACCTCAGTCATAGAACAAATTAAAAAGGGATGGATTAATGAATACACAACTCTGACAGTAAGTATAATTTATCACTGAATCAAAATGGCTTGCATTAAATTATTTCTCCACTGTGCTGGGAAGGCAAAAGAACCAGACCCAGTCACATCTAGAGCACTGTAAAACTTGCTCTTACCTTCCTCAGCTATCGAGAGAGAATCTATGCTAACATATTTGCCTTCAAGGTCCAGGCCACCTTCTGGGTAAACCAGCCCCCCCTTTGCAGGTCTTAACGGCACCATTCACATCACAACTAGAAAAACCAGCCACATCTATGAGCAGCAACTTCTCAAACAGAATGGCTTGTCAGATATCTGGAGCTTGGACTGCCTGGGGCACATCAGAGTTTCAAACAAGATCGAATCTTCAAATGGGAAGGTTAAAGGAAGACAAATTGGTTTCTAGATATTACATCTGATTCAGGAAGCAACACACTTCCTCCTGCTGCAGCATGTATTCATGTTGGCAAGGTGAAAGAAAACAGGAACTGAAGGACATGAGTAATCAAGAAAAACGAGGAGACAAGCCTAGATATTTTGTCCAGTGACATCATCGTTATGAAGTCTATACCAAATACAGCTAACAAAAGCTACTAATGTTTAAAAAGATTAGTTTCTCAGTTAACATTAAAGAATACATTCTTAGAAGAGAGACAAGAA